CTCAAAAATTTTACTAATAACCTTTGTTTAAATAAATCAAATATATTCTTATAGCTATAGATAATATATTTATAAAAGAATTATTTGTTTGATTTAATTTTTTATAAATAGCAATTATTTTTTAGGGGTTTGGGATTTGTCCAGGTTTGGGCTGCAAGTATATATGTGAATGATATAAACTTGAAATCAGTAAATCGTATTGACAACTTGATCAAATAGTCATATGGAAACTAAATTTATTAAAAATAATGCACCCATACTGATTTTTTAATATACAGATATTATATTTGTTACTTTTAATGAATATAGTATTTAATAAACATATAAGTCTAACTTTATATGATAATTGTTCAGAGTCAAGGTATTTCTCAATAACATCATTATAAAAACATAATTAAATATTATTTTTTTTGTATTGTAAGAGGTTAATCAGAATCTAAAATAACAAGTATTGGTATTGAAATTGTGTGTTTTCTTTAATTAGGTTCATTGATTATATTATTAATAACAAATTCGTAATTATACTATCATCAATTATCTAATAAAGAGTATAATCTTATATTGCTTATTTGTAAGCTTTTTTAAAATATATTTAAAGATGTGATTTTTGCAATGTAAATTTATTCAATATTTAAAAAATTTTTTGCAGTTCTTTAAGGTACTATCTCACGAAGGTTATAAATTATTTGCTATTTCACATTAATTCACTTATTTAGACAACTATAAATTTAACAAGTAAGTGCAAAATAATTTGCTAATCAGAGCATTTGAAAATAATGTATGCACTTATTAGGTTTATTAGTTTATTTTCTGTGCTAATTTGGACCATAAGCAATCTTTTATTTAAGTCAATTTAATCAATATAAATTTTTAATCGAAGTTTTTAAATAATCTAATATTTGTGCTAATTATGATCTTAAAACTTGATTTTCTAAAATTTATATACAAAGTATTTATAAATTTTAGTCTTATCTGAATTCAAGATGCATAGTGCCCTGCTTGTATTTGTACTATATAGTACAATAGTGCTCACAATCTAACTTAACAAACCACACAAAATTAGCCCATATGTGTTTGTTAAAATAATTTTATACTATATTAAGGCCGGTCATTTGTAAAAAATCAGACTGGCCTAGTTCTAAGACAGAGTACAAGACTAATTTTAATCGAACTGACTAACATCCCAATTGTGCACATAATCTAAATTTAATATATCAGATCAATTATCGCAAAATCTTGATTCACGTTAACTTAAAATTTTAAGCAACTTAATATCTAGATACTTTTCCATTTCTGGTTTTGCATGATAACATTGTATAGCTACCTTATTAGTAAATCGAAATCACCTGATAAAAATAGGCTCCTTTAATATTCATTATTAGCCTAATTATAGCTGATTTCTGTCCTTTGCAAACGTGCAATTGTTCCCAAAACATTTATGTGCAGATCAACCATTGTTGCGCAAACATAACCCATTACACTTGGTGTTAAATACCGAATTTTTAAAAAAAAAATAAAATAAAAAATATATTAAACTAAAAAAAAAAAATTATTCACTAAATTAAAGTAAAAAAAGAATTAAAAAAAAACACAACTAAAGTTTAAAAAAAGTAAAGAAAAAATATTAAATTAAAAAAACTATTAACTTAATTGATGATCTGCCACTCAACAGAAGAATAATCATAGTATAACATGATGCAGTTTACTATATAAATCTAATATAGCTGAATATAAAAAATTTCTAACATTTTTCTAAAGAAAACTTTTTGTACTAAGTTAATTGACTTTGTCATTTAATTGAAAGTTGTAGAGCTCGTCTTTGTGGTTCTAATGGTAGTTAAACCATTCAAATCGGCCATGTAGATACCAAGATATTTTTAAAAAATGTTTTTTTAACTATATAAACTTCTTTGTAATTGGTTTAAAAAAGTTTACAAAGTTAAAGAAAAGTTTTTAATAATATTTTGGCATTCACTAGGCCAATTTAAATGATTTAACTAATATTAGAACTGCAAAGACAAGCTCTACAACTTTCAATTAAGTGACAAAATCAATTAACTTAGTACAAAAAAAGTTTTCTTTAGGAAAATGTTAGAAATTTTTTATATTTTACTGAAACTTGTAAAAAGTTAGATATGTTTTTATAATAAAACAATAATGTTTTTAAAATATAATAAATATATTTTTATAAAAAAAAACATTTTAATAATAAATTTTTAATGTATTAATAATATAATAAAAAAATTCAAATAAAAATAAAATCTAAAAAACTATTTTTTTTAAAATATTTTATTATAATATTATTAAAAATATTAATAAAATAAGAAAAAAAAACTCTTCCTGTAGATCACTTTACCAAATTAGAAGCAAGAAGAAAAAATTTTCCCACAACATTTTCTCAAAAACTTACTAAGTAAATTGATATCTGGCTCTTAAGTAAAGTTATTTAGCACCCCGCAAACTACTTAAAGAAGGTGCAAATTTTGTTATAAGACCTACTACAACAAGTTAGTAGCAATAAACACCCAAAACAGCAACAAAGCAGTTTTTCAATCCTTCCACGAAAACGGTCTTAAGGACCCTCAACTTTCATATAATCCAAAAGATTTTACAGATAGTACTCTAAGCAAAAACAGTAAGCAACTACAAGTTTCATATCATATTAAGCCCCAAGACTCCGACAAAAACATGGCCTCCGAAAGCTCTTCCTTCTACTGGAATATTTTTTCCCAGAACACCAAAGCCGCTCCATCTGAAGACATCCCTACTATTAGCTCACCACTAGATCCTAGTATAGAACACACCAAAAAATTTTTAAATATTACTATAAAAGATTGGTCCAAACTCACATTCTCTTTTAGCTTCTCTGTTCCGGAATATGCTGATTCTTTCATTTTCTATGTCGATATTACCAAATCTGGAAAGATCCCCAACTTGAACGACCACTCTCCACAATGGTTATGCAGACATGAAAATCTTGCCCAATCAGTTTTGTTTGACCTTATATCACAAAAAAGCAATGTTGTTAATATTAGCGCCAAACACCCAAAACCTACTCAGAATAGTGATCTTGTAACAATTACAAACCTATACGAAGCCAGTATGAAACCTTACTCAAAAGCCAAAAGTACAGAAAACTTAGCCTCAATCCCGTATAACATAATTACAAACCTCGATTCAGATAATGAGTCCAATAGAAGCTACAATGAGCAGATTGCACATGTAGTCACCAACACCAATCTCAGCTCTTTACAAGACATAAACACAGGTTGCATAAACACCAGTACGAGTAACAATACTACAAACCCTGCGCTATCCACAAACAAACCCCTAACACCAATACAGTACCCAGGCCTAGTACACCTACCAATTAGATTACATAGCCTGTATTCTCTGCACCTGATTCTAACTACACCCCAGTAGTCCCCAGCACTAAAGCTAACCACAAGAGACTAAGAGATTTATCTAACATATCTCCACTTGCTATAACTCTGCACAAAGCTACTAAAGCTCTACCTAACAATACTGCTAAATTTACTAGTATACAAGCTAGTACTTTAACAACTACTACAAAACCTACATATAGCCAAGTTACCCAAACAAACCTTAATTTGCTTAAAACAGAGGCTCCGGAAG